ATATTAGCCAAATCTAATTCTAACGCACGGTATATTTTAAAATATAATGGGTCGATTAAATATTTGCATTACGGAAAAATAGAAACTAAGTTATGGCCGTAACCATTAACGATTAATTTTAAAAATTATTCAAATTTTTCTAGGACTATCGAAATTGAATGTACATTCCACGACATAATGGGTTAAACTAAACATTTTCGCTTAAACATATCAACTGCATGGAGTCGCTAAAGAGCGGAATCATCGATCATAAGCACGTTCGACCTACGCGCCGGGGGACGAAATTGGCTTAAGACCCGCGATTGGGCAAAATGCACATCAAAGAGCTATAGAATAAGTGACGCGCCGCGGCATACCAAGTATACACGGCCCGGTGGGAATAGGGTGTACCACTGGGCAGTAGAAACGATCAAACTTTTTATATTTCTGATTACAGTATTTATCAATTACGGAGAATAATGATGGTATATATAAATTCCCTTTAAAACTCCTAAATAGGACTACCTACTCACCAAATTACGTAGTTTAAAGTGATATTGTACTGTATGTGTTAAATACCTATGTCCATTTTAAAAACATATCAAAGTTTAAAGTAAAATGCATTAAACATTGTAGGCTACTCATCCAAGAACACACTACTTTACACTTTGTAAGCGGATAGCAAACAAATATATTTTAAAATAAAAATAAAATAGTTAAGTGATTTATTTACAATAAATGGGCAGTAACCTACCGGCTTTAACAAATCTTTAGCAACAAGCCGATTGATATTTACTGCATTCAAATTGCTACATTCTTGACAAGCAGTGGATCTACCGTTAATTTAAACTTACCTCCGTAAACTTTTCCTAAGAATATCCCTAGTTTAATAACTCATTTTAAATGTAAATCAATGTCTTAAAAATGTGGTTCCAAATAAATAGGACTAATAAAAAACGTAATCAAACAACAAAATTGCGTGTAAATTTTAAAATAGTAGGGTATAGAATACGGCTGTGTTTGAGCGTGAATTGACATTTGAATAATACATTTTTGGAACCATCCAAACAAAAAATATGATTGAAAACATGCTCATTATTGGCAGAACACATGCCTATGAAGTATGTGGGCACAGAGTAAATAGTCGACTAGAGGAGGCTCAGTTACACGGATAAAAAATACAAATTACAGTCCGGTGCCCGCATTTACAAAATATAAAAAAAAAGGTAGCCTAGTTATTACGTGCACACTGAATGATTATTAAATGTTCGGCGTGTAACAGTACAAACTATAGTAAAAACGTGTTGCAATTAATTCTCGCAAACAAAGACTTATTCAATGAAGTAACAATATACCAGGCTTATTAAGACGAAATATAGAATTGTAATGTTAAAACGTGTGTAAATAGTTCAATTATTTGACTAGCCTAAATGAATTAACAATAATTGAAAGTCTGCATTAAAAAATAGATTGAACGATATATAGCCAAAAATGTTGTTACTCTCCCATAAATTAACGATTGTACGATTATAAAATCACCTTTTTAAACTCCACGCTTGGCCTGAAATTTGCGCTTTTCGCGTCTTCCTCCTAAAACGCAATATGATTTTTTGTAGAATGTAAAATAATTCCATTCAACCAATTAAGCTCATTATTAAATCCTAAATTTAAACGTCACATGTTAGTTAATTTAGGTTTATTAGTTTTATTTTCAGAAGTTAGACCACGTCTATAGACGTCGAGGGTACACTCGTGTTGAAGGACCTCAACACGGCAACACGCAGTATGGGTACACGTGCACGAGCCCGCAAACCTTTTCAAAATCAATATAAACAAACACTCGAGCGGAGGACCTCAAATACCACGAGAGGCGATCACACTATACGAGACAGCTAGCGGCGAGACTAGCCGACGAGCCGCAGCGCCGCCGTCCGCGGACTATACAAATACTGCATCACGAATACAGTAAAACATTATCTTAAATACACAGCAGATTTAACTAATTAGAAACCGATTAAGTAACTTTTATTCCAAACGATAAATATGATTCTTTATAATGAATCGTTATTTTACTAATTTTTTTGTAAATTAACGGCAGAACGAATCGAAATTGTAATCACAGACAAAAATTAACGGATAAAAAATTAACCAAGCAAACACGATTAAAATAATGTTTTAGGGCTATCGGTACACCAGCAGAAATAAATAATTCATAATAATTAAATCTTTCCTACGGTACTTTATTTTAATATTTACTCCAATCCTATAAATTTGGTCTTGTCGTAATCTATTATGCGGACTTTGACATTCCTACGTTTTGGAATGTGTTTTTACAAACTAAATAGACTACCGTACTTTACCGGAACGCTTCAACATGTTGAATTCCCGTTCTTTAATTCCCGTAATACTGGCACTATAAATTTTAAAATTAATTTAGGCGTTTGCATAATAGTTTTTTAAACCTAGTTGTAGTTCAACAAAACTACAAATGCCTTAAAGTTTTTGCTAAACAATAGCCTATACGGTAATTAATTATTAGTAAAATATCGCAAATAAATACCTGTCCCATCTTTGAGCCCTATAGAGTAGTACAGTAGTAGAATATTTAAACGCAGTCAATCACTCGAGCAATCTGTTATTGTTCACGGTCTTAGAATGTTAGGCCTGTTTTACAGGGAAGATTGGGGTTAGAGCCCTAAAACAAAACTAAACCTCCCAGTTTCAGGAAGGGCGTGGGACGGGCCAGCCCCATTGTTCGTTCCGAGAAACGTTTTGCTTTAACAGTAAGAGCCAGGTTTACAACAGGAATGTCTAGAACAAAGCAAATAATTGGCTTGACTTTAACCCTTTCATGACTAAGCTTTTAGAAAATTTACAACACTTGGGGATTTTTCTTATTTAATTTTTGAAGGGATATGTACAGTCCCGTACAAGGAAATACTGTGTTGTTATTTTACATCTATGTAAACTAGCGTTATTTATTTATGTTTAAGATAAATACAAGCTATATATTGCATTTATCTAAATAAAATTTAGGAATTAGGCTTTTAGCAAATTTTTAGTAAAGAATTTTTTTAATAGCCTATCCAACGATTTATCAGTTAAAAAAGTAACAAGTGATTTAAATAAATGGATACACCATGATAAGGCCTGATGATACATGAGTAGGGGCCTCTTTATGGTCTATTCTTTCATATTGTGTGATATAATATTTATTTTTAAAAGAGCTTATTAGAGTAAATTTTAGAACTTGTTGTTACGATTTATTTAAATAGTCTACCTAGCGTGCCGTCAATGAAATAGGTTATTTATTATATTTTTACTATAGGCCTGATGTATATTTAACGTATGATACATGAGTAAATTATTTATTAAATCTTTAAAACTCTGTAAAATATTTTTTTTTATGTCAAATGATCTTATTAGAGTAAATATAGGCTACTTTACTGATTGATTTTATCTTATGATTTAAACTTAAATAATGAACATTTTTTTAAAAAAAAACGTCAGTTTCTGATGGGCAGGCTGTTTGTTTAATAAATTAACCTATTGTATATACCTATAATTTAGTTGTTTAATGAATCTCAGATTGTATTGAAATACTGCAAGCAAACTACGGAACGCGTCTATATCCCCGCGGCCTTATTATCTTATTAAATTTTTAAATGTAGGCCTATGTTTTAAATAATTTTGAAATTTTTTTATTAGACCCATTCAGCAAGTTTGTTAAATGTTTACTGCATTGCTTTTGTAAACCATTTGCGGTGAATGAAACTTTTTTCGCGTGTTAAAAACAAACATAACAAAGAGTGCAATAAGTGCGCAACTGCCCGTCAACAACTGATAGGTCAACAACAATAAAAAAATAATCCTCCAATTTATAACCTAACAATTTAACCTAAATATTTTCTACCACAGTATTTCCTATTTTCGTACCTATAATAAAGTCTTGAAACATTTTGCCAAAATAACAATAGGCCCTTATATTTAGCAATGTTATGATAAAATCTTGAAAAATACAGTAATGAACTTGTTGATTTGATTACATGTTCCTTTTACTTATTTACAGACGGAAAACTCCATTTTCATATAAATTTTGAATAAAGAAATCAGATAAAATTGGGAATTACAAAAAATAAAATAATTATATAGGTTATTGTTCTTTCTAAACGACAAGCTCTGACAAATATTAATATCACATTTAAGGATGAGAAATTAAATTCATAAACCATGTTTCTCCAAACGCGACCAATTTTTAAGATTCCCGCCAAGTTTCAAGGACAAATTTTATCATAACACTTTGATAAGTATATTCCTAAGAACAGGACAAAACGGGCACAACTAAAGGTCTACTAGGGAAAGTAACTAAAATATTAAATAATTTAAATATTTATTATTGACTTTCCGTAAAATATAAAAAAACAAGTTATTTGGATCAGTATTAAAATGATAGGCATATATTACTGTATATTTAAATAAAATTACAGTGTCACCTCATAATAAATTAATTTTTATTGATCTGTAATCACTGATAAGCATTTTAACAGTCAAGTTTAAGCATTTAGGCTGTACCTATTTATAAAAAGTAAGTATTGACGACAGTGATTGAGTTGAGTAGGTTATGTTGTGGTCCTGCACAGTACTGTATGCTGTAGTGATAGTGTATTGTACACAAGGACAGTTGTTCACAGTTACTGGACTAACAAATCAATCGCTTGGCTACGGGGAGGGAGAGAGAGGGCTGCGACCGCCCGCCACATGATTTATTTTAGCCTCGACCCGGCATTAACGCGGCATGAAAAATGTGGTGGTCGGGCCAACATGGCGGCCCATGCTTCACACTGACGTGATGTAAACACTGAACACGTGGTCGACGTAGACGTAGGCCTACCCGGCGTCGTACTATTGGTATACGCGGTACTCCTAGTACGGTATATCGGTACACGACCTGACACCTAACTTACACACATACACAGCCTACAAACCCTACTGTACACTAACGATGTAAACACTGTACGTACCCTGGGTTGCGCCATTGGATTCTTCGCGGTGAGGATTTTTCCGACTTTTCTACCAGAAGCGGACTGTCCCGCTTTCTGGTAACTTCAGGAGAGAACACACAATCAACAGATATTTATCCCTCCAGGTGCCACACACACAAATATCCACGCGGAGCGCAGCGCACACAAACGCGGACCGAGAAGACGATAACACAAGCCGATCGCGAAGCCCGAGTATTGGGACAAATCTCACTTAATCGTAGGATCCTGTTGGATGACACAAACGACACAACAAACAAGGGCCATGATGAGTGACGTACGCTGAGTCCCGACGCGCCGCACACTGTCGACTGGCTCTTGCCTCTGTCAATCACACGGCGCGAGGCGGCGCAACTGATCACGTGTCTGCGCGAACATCTACATACTCTGGTACGCTTCTGCGCACGCTCAAGCCCCTCCTACCTCCCTCCCTCCACGCTCCTTCCATTTTCAATTGTCGCTCCCTCTCGCTCGCACTCCAACGCTCGCATATAGTACTGTCTCTCTCGCACTCTCCTCCCGACAGCTCGCGATGCCGATAAAGTATCCCCTCTACGTCTTTGCTCGGAAAGATAATTTTCGCGTTAAACTAAATTTCACACTCGGCCCGACTGCTGTTTGTCACAAACCACTACACCTTGTCTATATTTTCACACCTGAGGGACCTGCTAATAGATATTGGTTTCGATAAATTATGTTATCCGTACCGGTATTTGATAAGCTAGGCCGGCCGGACCGTCTGCACCTTTTAGGGGCGCATTTGCTCTTCTCCGAGATATTTAAATATAAAATTGTGCAAGAAGGGTTTTTGACAGCAGTGCACTATTCTTATCGGTTAGCCACTGCATATTCTTCAGTCCATGTGTGATAAACTTTTGCATTTCCGTTTTAAAATTTACATAAGTTTATTCCTAATTTTTTTAATTTTAAAAATTAAACTTAGGTACGAAGTTTTTCACTGGTTTTTAATTTATCACCATGCCATTCCATATTAGAAAACAATAAATGGCGATGACAGTTGCTTTGTACGTGGTGTTGGCTACAATGTAGGGTCTATAGGTAAGTATAAACTATTGTATAAAGTATACACACAGCGTGTAGAACCTTCAACCAGAGGGGATGCTTGTATACCTCAGCGTTGTATCACTTGATTACTACTTACTGTACAAACAGTATTGGCGCTGATTACGAAATCACCATAGACGTATTTAACAGCGTATAGATCTATCTACACCCATAGTCACTGCCGATGACTCCACCACACTATAACTGTATAAGGACATATAATAAAATTCAAAAAATTTTCTTTTTTTTAGATTATCCTAGCTAAATTTAATCACTTTATCTGGGCAATAAAACAAAACCTGGTTGAAGTTAGTATTATAAACATGACGTCAAAACCCAAATACCAAACTTACTGTACTTAGTTTATAAGTAATCTATATACGATATTATTAGAAAGATTTAACGATACAACAAATCGTTATCAAGATTTTATTTGATAAAAAAGGTACTAATAAGTGACTCAAGTACCCTGGGTAGTATATGATGATATTAACCACGAGTTGAAAGAATTTAATCTCGTGTAGTTTAATAAATCGCTGAGTATTTAGTAATTTGTCGGCAACTACAAATTGTTAGTAAGTTTGGGAATTTATGAAAAGAACAAATAGAGGCCTATAAATTTTTGAGAACAACTTTAGGTTTTTTTAGAAAACGGACAACTTACATAACTGATAACAATACATAATATTGAATAGATAAGAAAGGTTATCACGTAAATGGCCTCAGTGATGAGATGAGTTAAAATTACTACTTAAGTCGAGCTTACAAAATGTTATCAGTTATCTTGATTTATAATGTTTCTATTGGAAATTAACAGGATCCACCACCTACTCTATTTTTAGCCTCGTAAAACATTTTAAATACGTTCCCTATATAAAACTAACTAAACGTCAAAAAAGTGACAAAATAATTACAACCATTTTCATTAAACGTGCAGTAGACATCTATTTTTAATCAAATAAATTAAAGTGCAATGATTTAGCAAGTAATAAAACATGAATTACATTGTATACAGCTATATGCACGATTGTAGTATGCTACGCGAAGGAAGAACCCCTGTAACGTGAAAAATCAATTATTTTTTACACATTTTTCATATATAAATAACAGGTGTAGTTTTGAGACATTTATTTTACAACTTTGTGCCATAAAACAACTTCCATAAAATTTTACATCGTAATATCCTCTTAAATTTTAATTTTGCTATTTTTAAACAGTTGAGTGTTCTCCGCATGTTCTCAAATCTAACTTAATATAAATTATTGAGCGGAGCGAAGAGAAGCTCTTTGGGTTCGACTTCAATGCAAACTTTCAAACACATTAACTCAATAACGTCTAAACACATTTAAGCCAAACCAAGGTTGTTTTGTCAAATGTTTGGAAGATTTAGACGAAACCAATTTCAATTTTTGATATACTGTATAGTTTACTATAGCTGTGTGCCCGTTCTACGCACGGGGATCTTATTGTAGTCAGTTGAAACCTTCTTATAATAAGAACAGCAGTTTGTTTGCATATTTTCAGATATGCTGGCAAAACTATTATATAAACCTACATTGATCTTATGGGTTGCCATGATGTTTACAAAATAACGACGTATAATGTAAACAAAACAAAGAGTCATAGCATATGTTAAAATCAAGCCATGAAATAAACACAGTACAAAGGGAAAATCAGATCAAGATGACCGCTGATCAAATAATACAAATAAAGACCCAAGTCAGATTTTAAGTCGCAATTTGGAAACAACCACTGATGGAATGGGTACAGTATTTTACAGATTTGATTTACGTAGTTAAATAAGGTCATAACAAATAACATTCATCTTATGTTATTGGGAATTGAAACAGCTATACATTATTCTGCATTTCTAAATAACAAGGTATTCTCGAATCAATATTTTTACCTAAATAGGCTATTATGAAAATATGTTTTTATTATTTTCTTTGAAATATTTGGATGATATCATCGTGTTGGCAACACACTTGTTGTATTGATTGTTATGCTGGCAACGACTTGGGGTACATTATTGCCCAAGTAGAATAAAGTATTTTTTGTGTTTTCGTTTTACAAAAAAATAACTAATCCGCAGATGATAAGAGTGTCATAATAAGGAACATTTCAGAATGCATAATCAAAAACTTCCTGATATTGGTAGAAAATTAAGACTAGGAATAAACGCCCGAAACGCACGAACAACTACTTCTTAGCAATGTTTTGAGATAGTTGAATCTAGAATACTTGCTTGAAGACAATGACTTTCATAATTATTACAATTATTATGTTAAATGTGCAAAATTTAAGAAAACAAACCTCATAAGGTATGGTGACAACTATTTGTGCAATTCTCTCAAAGCAGGCAAGTCTTTAAAAAGTTAAATATGCTAATTGTATGGATCAATGCAGGATTATTTCTGCCAGGATTGCAATATCTAGCCAAGATTGAGAAAATGTTCATTGGTTTAGGTTCAAGGTCGGGTTCAACCAGAACTGTGGGTTCAACAGATGACATTAGCAAGGAAACACAGGAAAAATACTGATTCAAAGGATATTTATGTAATGTCCACATGTTTTAAATGTTGATAGTCCTGAGCGAAACTGATAAGTTAAATTGATGAAATAGTTGTATTTTGTATTGTATCTATAAACATTTATATTCATTGCTTCATTAAGAACCATGGAACGTGATCGCTCCACTCAACTGGCTTTCACTGCTATGAAAGCAATCCTAGTTAATGATAAAAAATGATATTATAAATAGATTATAATATTATAAATTCACCAGTAAAGGTCGCATCTTAGTTAGTGACCGAGTTCGAATGTATTATATTTTACGATAAAACTATATTTTAACACAAATCTTTGGCGGTAACTTGTTTATTTCAATTATGTTATATATTTGACAACAACAACATTAATCGCTTATTAATTATTGATTTTCCATTTGTGCGTCGTGCCAAGGACATTGCCGAGGCTAGCCCAGGCAAACCGTCGTCAAACACTTGTTTTCAATTATTAAGTTCGTGAACACAAAATTTTGTGGAATGATTAAGTGGGAAAATAACGTTATTTAACAATTTTAGGTGTAGTACTAACAATAATATGATTTACGACTTATTTCATTTTTACAACATTTTCTAATAATATGATGTATAACTGGACGGAAACTAAAATACTAATTAGAATAGATTAGCCATGTGTCCAACTAAGTGGAAGACTTGTATTATTTCGTTTGTTTTTCGCAATACTTCTCAACTACATGTAAAAGTGCAGAACTAGTTTAAAACTGATACAACAATGGTAGAGTTGTGCAAAGAACGCAAGCGATTTACGTCAGCGTCAGCCTATATTATTGTGCAAGGGCCTTTATCATTTTAGATTCCCAGGTTGTATAAGTGATTCTCCATAGCCCGATACTGCATCGTATACAACAAGTCCAACTCTTAGATTGTCTTTGGAACTGTTTTATGACGATCAACTAGCACGATGTGGGTTTGACCGTACTAGGCCCACCGCACATAATTGAGCCTTATTAAGGTGAATACGTCTGCCTTAAACATTTATCCTCTCCATAAACTACAATTATTTATTGAGATTCAGTTAGAGTTATATTAGGGAGATATCAGTTGGGTTTTATGATTTTCATGTTATTTTATTTTTTTATAGTTCTTTTTCCCAAGAACGTATACAGTATTATGAGAAATCGTAGTTGAACTTTGCTTATAATAAATATTCATGGCCATTTAAGTATCATAGTAAAGTCCCTACATATAAGTCTTAAACTACATAATATATAGTATACATTATCTAATAAGGGTTTGTAGGCCTCACTTTATGTCCCAACCTTGAGATGTTACTGTTCATATCCTCGTCGCCTACCTAGTACCTTCAGTAACAAGTTATAGACCTACATGTCAAGTGCTGCCTGTAGATTATTTACCAAGTCATACAAGTGCTAACAAGTCAAATGTAGTTCAAATGACCATTGTAATTTAATTTCTGTTCAAGTGCATTGAACTCTTCCTTATGTAAGAAATGCATCAATACCTTTGGGTAAATTGTCATTTAATGCATTTAAGAGGTATATGGGATTACAATATTCGCTTTTTAAATTCATTTGTTTTCTAAGCGATTTTTACCGTTCATTTTTGAAATGTTTCCGTATTATACGAAAGTTTTGGAAATATGACGTTGTACAAATAATAAATCAAAATAATTGGTGTATCAATCAAACAATTACGTAATAAAACCAATTATATTCGTTCTTCGTACCGTAAAAAACTATGGTAAATCAAATTGCCTCAGCACTGTCAGGTATCGTAGGTTATTGCTGACAAAGTTTCCTTTAACGCTGCG